TTGTAAAGTTCTTCCACGAAGAGGCAATACCAGCCATGCTGGAAGAGATTTACCTGCGGCAGGCCAGCAGAGATTGCAGTAATAATTTAATGTAGCTCTGATACAGTTCAAAAGGAAAATATTAAAATTCAATACAGTGCATGAGAATTCTGCGCTTCACATGCAATTCACTTTAGATGATGAATCACAGCGCGAGGCAAGAACGGCCGTCTGGAATGATCTAGCAACAGGAGAAAACAGAAGACACGCTAAATGGCAGTCAAACAGAATTATCATTCCCAACGAATAGTCAGAATACACTCCAGATCACAAAATATTATGTGCATGAGGAGTAAATAAGATTACTTTAAGTACATTCTCTTTTGCTGCGCTGATAAATTGCTGCAAATAGCACCCATGGTGAGTGGGAGCCCCAGCGAGTTGTGCCAATGACCAACAGGGGGCATTTCCCAGGAATACTCCGATTCTCCGATTTCAATCCCGAGTGGGAGCCTTGGCACCACCGGGTGTGAAAGGGACTGTGGTGCTTTCAAAAGTGCCAAAAAAAAAAAAAAAAAAAATCTTGAAATACCTGCAAGTTATATTTGTAGCATCACTTTTACTTTGACCTAAAAGAGACACAAGGAGAGTGAAAAGAAGCATCCCGAACCGGACGAGGAGCTCATGGAATTACATACACAGTACCAAAAAAGAGAATAAAGGCCTGAATTGAAACTTAGCATCTCAGCAGAGATTATACTGGTTGGTAGAAATAGAAAACTCTTTTCTGGTGAGTGTATTTCCCTGGGCTGTCCTATATTCTGTTCTCTTAAGAGAAGGTGAAGAAAAATCAACAATAAAATTGTGTATTTTTATACGGCCCACAGTTACCCGTAAAAGCTTCGTTTAAAAAAAAAAAAAAAAAAAGTAAAATAAAACTTTAACAACAACCATTTTAACAACAACCATGGCTATAAGATGGAGCTCTGGGACATCCCCGGGAATGTCCTGGGACGCAGCACGAGCGGCACCGTGAGCACCTTGCACCCCACAGGCTGCCGGCATCCACCCAGGAGAAGGGCTCCCTTCCTCAAGGACCAGCTGCTGGGCCCCTGCCAGGGACTAGGTATCAGATTAAAGGGATCAGTAGTCTGCTCTACTGCAGCAATTACGCTCCAAAGATCTCAGCTTCCAATTAATAATATTTACCAATAAATACCATGATATATGGTATATACCATGATATTGAAGTTCTGTTGTTTAGAGAGGTTAGAGTCTCAAGTTTTTTTTCTCTTTTTTCTTTTTAAGTCTGAGCCAAGCCACCTCCAAATCTTTTGCTCCTTCTTTACAGTTACTACCATTTATCCTCTGGCCTTCCCGAAGTCTTCTTTGCTTGTAAAACCTATGATATTTCTGCTGATTATATTTCAGTAATCTGCGGCAAGAARGAAGGTCATCAATATAAACCACAGGCATTCTATACTTGGAATTATTTGCAGCTGCACTTGCTGACCTGTTCTTTTAAAATATCCATGATCTATGGCAGTCTATCTGGGTGAGATGCTCCTTTAATTAATATGAAGGGAAAAACCCCTGCCCGTGTGCAGCGTTCAGCAAACAGGCACACGCCAGGACCGCGGAATCTGGGAGAATAGAAGGGGCTAAATAACTGCAGAGGAAGATGGGCTTGGGAGAGAATTGTTCTTGCCCAGCATTTTTCTCTTTTATACTCAAAATCAATTAGGTTGTTTTCCTAAATTTTTAAAGAGTGCCAATAACCCCCCCGCTTTAAGTACAAGCGTCAATGAACTCTTTCAAAATCATYTTCGGATGTCAGGGAAGATTAACGTATCCTGGCCGTGGGAGAGGGGTCAGGAGAAAACATGCATTTTAGTCTCTTCTCTAATGGGCACGATCCAAAGCCAAGCGCTGTCTACGGGAAAGCTCCRTGAAGGGACCGGCATGGTAAAATTCCACGACAAGTGCTGGCAACGCCAGAGGCCAGGAACAATCTGGGATCAATAGCTTCCAGGTCATTAATCCTACGCAGGTGACACCCAGCTTGCTACTCCTTCCACATGAGCCTTCGGGAAACCTGACCAGGTTGGCATCTGAAAGCTGGGAATATTTTTCATGTTTCGCCTTTAAACTTTGCCTGTGTGTTTGGCATGGGGCTCTCTAGCATCCCATTAATGTCAGACCGCTTAATCGTAATGCAGCCTAAATGCACAGTTTGCTATTTCCTGGATTTCTGTTTGGTGACCAAATGCTTTTTATGAGGAAAATAAAAGCAAAGGTCAGTACAAACAGAAAAGTCATCTTCCATACCGGAAAACTATTTTTTCCAGTGAACTGATACAGAAGCCTTAATTTAGAAAAAGGSCCTTTAGTATCATGTTATTATTAGTAGTATCACAAATAAACACAGAAACCAATTCACTTTACAGTCCTCCACATTAAGCCTTCAATAGAAAACCCCTCGGTGCTTAATTGATTTTTGTTTTATTGATTTTTTTAAACTAGCCATATCACAGATAAAATGCATCATTTTGGTGAAAGACATATAAAACTTTTCTGTCTTAAAATAAGTTATTATAAATTATTTCCACAGCAACTGGCAGCTAACGGCTTGATACATTTGAAGAACAACCCAATAATGGACTTATTTGGATGCCTTTTKGATTAAATAACGTATTAACCTTGATGAAGCTTTCCAAAAAGGGCTTAGTGTATTCAAGTGCATCAACTGATTATGACACGCATATCACAGCGGTAAGATACTGGTCCAAAATTTTTGAATCTGATGAGAGATTTAGCTGTTAGGATGGAGTTGGCTCTTAAAGCTTAAATCTCAGCAGTAAGTGTCCACCCATGAAACAGAAAAAAAAAAAATCACCTAGATCAGGTATATAGAAACCATATAAGATATGTCACATAAATCACTATATCAAGTAGATTATAAKACCCTACATAATTACTGTAACGTCAGAAATCATTCAAAATAATCAGTCTGAAAGGAGAGAAGAATCAGAACAAAATCATCAGAGGGAAAATGCAGAAAGTAAATGCAGTTTTATGTTCTGAGGATATCCATTTTGACCAAAACTCACTGACCCACTTTGCTTTATTCGCCTATACTGTAATAAAACATTTTGCATACCTACAGCAAATCCTCTCCATTAAGTTATTTGCTTAATGGATGTATAAATAAGTCTACCACAATTACGTTCTTTAAGGGTCAAATCCTACCCACTTCTGAAGCCACTACTGCAGCTCCCGCGACGCTGGCTGAGGGCACCGCAGCCCTCAGGAACAGCTGAAACGCGGTCGATTTTGCACTGTTGACATAACCAACCCGTGTTATAACCAGGCTGGCAGAGCCTTCCACCACC